GCCTTGCGCTATCGCGTCGCACCCTTAAGGCCAAGTGTCCCTCTAATTTTAGAGCGCAGCTCTTAGGGGCCCGTTCCCGGCTTCAGCGGCGTCGCCGTCGCCGTCGCCGTCGGCGTAACCAAGGTCATCCCAAGGTCACTTGACCCCCAAGGTCATCCCAAGGTCACGTGACCCCAAGGTCACCCCACGGTCACGTGACCCCTCCCAAGGGTCACCGGGGGTCACGTGACTCCCCAAGGTCACCCCAAGGTCACGTGACCCCTTCCCCAAGGTCACGTGAGACCCAAAGTCACGTGGCTCCCCAAGTCACGTGACCCCCGGGGTCACGTGACCCCCGATGACGTCATCAGTGACGTCACTGATAACGTCACCGGCATCCGCATCGTCATCATCATCATCACTGATGACGTCACCGGCATCCGCATCGTCATTGCCATCATCACTGATGACGTCATCATTGACGTCACTGATGACGTCACCGGCATCCGCATCGTCATCATCACTGATGACGTCACCGGCATTCGCATCGTCATCGTCATCATCGCTGATGACGTCATCAGTGACGTCACTGATGACGTCACCGGCATCTGCATCGTCATCGTCATCATCACTGATGACGTCACCGGCATCCGCATCGTCATTGTCATCATCACTGATGACGTCATCAGTGACGTCACTGATGACGTTACCGGCATCCGCATCGTCATCGTCATCATCATCAAATGACGTCACCGGCATTCGCATCGTCATCATCGCTGATGACGTCATCAGTGACGTCACCGGCATCCGCATCGTCATCGTCATCATCGCTGATGACGTCATCAGTGACGTCACCGGCATCCGCATCGTCATCGTTATCATCACTGATGACGGCACCGGCATCCGCATCGTCATTGTCATCATCACTGATGACGTCATCAGTGACGTCACTGATGACATCACCGGCATTCGCATCGTCATCCTCACTGATGACGTCACCGGTATTCGCATCGTCATCGTCATCATCGCTGATGACGTCATCAGTGACGTCACTGATGACGTCACCGGCATCCGCATCGTCATCGTCATCATCGCTGATGACGTCATCAGTGACGTCACTGATGACGTCATCTGCATCCGCATCGTCATCATCACTGATGACGTCACCGGCATCCGCATCGTCATTGTCATCATCGGTATCCGCATCGTCATCGTCACGTGACCCCCCTAGGTCACGTGACCCCCACCCAAGGTCACTTGATCCCCCCAGTACCCTTCCCTACTCCTCCTCAAGAGCTGCGCTCTAATTCGGCGTTACAGGGAGTTGTAAACGGCTTTCACTTTTTTTTTGTCTGAAACAGTGTCGTCAAAAGTTATTGCATGCTTCATCACGGCACAATTTTGTCAGCAATGCTGGCTCGCATTTGTGCCTGGAGCAGTATCCTCCTGAAGTTTGTGGAATGCTTGGCACACATGTGCATCCGTGTCAACGGAATGATGACGCTTTGCACCTATTTCTTGCACAGTGCAAACTAGTTTGTTATATCCCGGGTTGCGAATGAAGCTGTGTTGTGTTTTCTAGAAATGCGAAAAATATGCATTTGCTTTTACAACATGGGCCCTGATAAACCACAATTCCTGGTTGACCGCAAAAATTTACACCGAAAACACTGAATTTCGGAGTTAAAAGTGAGGCACCGAAACCGAATTTGGAGAAAATTAAACATTAAAAATATGAAACGCCAATTTTTACATAAGGGGGAAATTTTGTTGCATCTGCAGACACCGAAGCTTTTTACTAGGGTTCTAATGTTCTTGAGGCAGAAACAAGTGTAGTAAATGACAACCAGCTTTTTTCCACGGAGAAAAGCTATAATTTCCACATTATTTTCTACTTACGGATAGACCCCCAAAGCAGAGTGGATGGGTCCCGCTGAGGAGCTTGAATGCTGCCGAGTACCCGTCCGTGCTTTGCTCGTTGTGCAGGAGGACTGCTAAGGGGACGGCGCCAGCCATTGTCGCCACCAGCACCACTGTCACGGTGCACTTGGTGGTGTCACACGAGGACGTCGAGTCTATAAAGACAATGTCCCTCGCTGCCTCCAGTGCCTGGGCCCGCCGCATGCTGGGGGTCACGACCAGAACTGCCCAACAGCTGCTGGTGTCACTCCGGCTGACCGTCACACTTGTGCCTGGAAATTGTTAAGTAAATTGAGGCACGGCTCTTTTTAATCACTTTTCTCAAGTGAGCTTTACGATGCAACTCACCTCTGTACCCCTAAAATTCCCAGCAAAAAAAATGTGTAGTTACTGCCACAGCTACATGTGATGTGCATAGAGCCGAGAAATGTGAATGTGAACTGGTGTTGCTCTCTAATAGCATGTGCCTAGTGGCAAGTGCTGAAGCTCACAGATGAACAATACCTCTCTTTTCACAAGGTGACGTGGAAAGATACACTGGTAGGTCATGTGATGTCAAAAATAAGCCATGGCACTGTAATAACTTGTAGCATACCTTGAGCAGCATAGAAGGGTGCCTTCTCCTCCAGCTTGGAGAGAGCGTCGATGGGCCACCACCGAAGCAGGCGCTCCTCCACACAGTGTGCCAGTGTTGCACGGTTCTGGCCAGAGGGTTGAGGGCGCCGTTGGCCAGCAGCTCGGGACCGTTCTCCTCCATGCAGAGTTTGCTCTCGTGGAGCCTCCGTGCCTCGCTGACTGCCATCCCGTCGCTAAAGTAGCCCACAAACGTCTGCCTCGTGGTACGTGTGCCCCGAAGGAGGCGCAGAGCGTCTGCTGAATGTGTATTATGCGAATGTTGAGTGTCCATTCGTATGACAGTAGCCAAGGGAACGTCCCTGCGCAGGTACGGGTCGTTCTGTTTTGAGCCCTTGCTCAACTTTTTTATCTTTACGTCGAGTCTGGCCATGCACACAGCGTTGCGGCGCTCGGACACCTTGTTGCGAGGGTGGTGCTGGCAGCGCCAGACCTTGTGGAAGACCATTCTGAAAATACCACAAATGCAGCAAAATAAGGGGGAGCACCCTATGCAGATAGGGTAGCGTTAATTCTTGAGGAGGAAAGCTGCTTTAAAGTGGAGAGGTTCATTTGGCTCACTCGAATAGCTCACAGATTTGGCTCACACGTGGGAGGAGTGTTTTTTTCGAATGGTGTCCGCGGGCGCTCTTCAGGCGTAAAATTGATCGTATAAATAGGCCAATGATTGGATAGCAGTGAAACTTCTCAAGGTCTCTTTAGGAGGTGCATTTATCATACTCAAATTTCATGAGTAGGTTCCCGGATTAAAATCCTGGAAAAGAAAAACGCTATATCTCTATGGCATGGGAAAGTGCCGAGAGCCTACACTAATGAAATTTGGGTATGGTAAGTACACCACTTAAATACACATTGGCAGGGGTTTATCCAGAATTTTCAACAAGGGGGGGGGGGGGGGTCACAAGTTTTTGGGCGGCTGTAGGGGGTGTGTGGGGCAGGGAGGTGTAGCCTTGTCTGTGCTTTGCACAAAAAATTCGGGGGGGGGGGGGGGGTCGGCCTCAACCTGGGGGTGTGTTGGGGGGGGTGGGGGGGTGTAGCCTTGTCTGTACTTTGCACAAAAAATTCTGGGGGGGGGGGGGGTGTATAAAGCTCTGCGACATTGGAAAGTTTCTCCGCTTTCCATTCATTGGCTATGCGCTCCATTTCACGACTATTGACAACTGATTACACGAAGTTTGGTGGTGTGAAACAAATGCCATTTCATTTTCACCCTGACTACGCAGGTTCAAACAAATCCGCAGCATGCTCTATTTTTTCTCGACCTGCACGTCTGCCTCTCCGTGACGTCACGGCACCCGGCTGCGCGGGAAATTTCGAATGTGTTTTCCATTCGCTGTTTTCTCAATAACTGTTCTGAATTTAGAAAACCTAAATAGCATGCCGAGACGGCCAAAGACTCAGGATATATAGTTAGTTGAGAGCCGCATTCCAATTATCATCGATACGGTCCTCAATCGCGGAAAGCATGAATGACATGAACGTACCGTTGTCCCTCCTTCTGGACCTTTTGGACGATCCAAGAAGTGTTTGTTTGGAGACTGTAGGCCTCCAGCCATTCGTCGACGGCCGCTTCGTTGTTCAGGTTCGTGCGAAACACTGATTCCTTTTCCGTCGACGCGAGGTCGTCCTTCACTACCTCCAGCCGCTCGAACGGCGAAGGAGGCTCGTCCATCGTTAAAAAAATTCAGCGGTTCAGTAGCAGTGATACACAGAAGACAAGTCGCACTTTCGTTTCGCGCATGAGAGCACGACGCTCACCACTCTGGGGAACGAAAAAACAGTGATGCAAAGCACATTCAACTCGTGCACGAGTGCGCAGCGGTCAGGATACTGGAGAGGAAAAGTAACGGTGATTCAACCAGCTTACAAATGTCTCGCAGAACACGTCGCCGATGGTTCATTCAGTGACACACAACACGTGTACCCACACAACACGTGTACCCGCACCACCGTGACCCGCACCTTGGTGAACTCCACGCTGGCAAGCAAAAGTCAAATCGTGGACGAAAGCACGGCGATTCAAACAAGAGCACGATGATTCAACCAACACACCAGTGGCTTCGATGTCGAGCTTGAAACAACAGGTTGCAACAGGGGAAAAAAAAGGGTTGAAAGGTGAAAAGGATCAAGGAAAAGAAAGGGAGAGGGTAGGCGTGGTAGGCTAATCCCCACGCTGATTGACATCCGGCTTTTCTGACGCCGCTCTTGGTTTCGGTTTCGTTTCCTACACCAGTAACATTCATTGAGTCGGTTGGATGGGTGGGAAGTAAGAAAACTTTGAAGCCTAATAATTAACGTTCTTAATTTGTCACAGAAATGCTCAAAATAATTCCTAATTAGTGATAGCGATTTCCCTATAACTTTTTTTTAAATTTTCTGTTCGAGTTATTGTCTTATCGCCGCGTCAGCCGCGTGATGGCGCGGCCGACGCGGCGCGGCGGCGCCCTTGAATGGCGGATGGCGGCAAATGGCGGAGGCAGATGCAGTGCAGATGGCAGAAGAAGTTTGGAGTCTCGAAGTTCGCTGCTGCCGAGGTTCAACACGCTGGAAATATCGGTATGGGCTATGACAGCCGATTTTCTTGACTGTTCATTAACGTCGCTGTTCAATCTGCCTTTATGTTTGTCCTTATTGATCGGCGTAGTCGCGTCAGTGTGACACGAACATGTTTGGTCAGCTCAATACAAATCGGGATTGAACACCTCTTGTTCGGTTCGATAGAACTTTTTTTGCATCGTAACAGTGTGAGATGCCGTGTGTCGTGCCAAAAACGACATGCTTCCCTGACTAACAGGTAGACGCTATATTTTGTAAACGTCTGAGCTTGTTGCTCACGGCCGCGCCCTCGCTGCACTCTCGCAGTCACAAGCAAATGGCAAAGACGTAGTTTTTGTTTGAATACATCTTCGGAGTATGAGGTGTATTCACCTACGTGTTTTTGTTCGCCATTTTGTTGTGATGAGTTCTATGGCTTGTGCCGAAGGCGATCATTCTAAGAATTCATTTCATGCCCTCAGATGCGTAGTGCGCAGAAGCTTCCAGATCTCATTACGCCGACTTCTATTAACAAAATGACAGACTTAAGTCTTATGAAAACACCCTATAGACACTTGTAGCGCAATCAGGCTCTTTCCCCTCCCGCAGCTACGATGAATCGATCTCTGGTGTGGTGCAGTTCCTGTGAAGAATTAACGTTACCCTATGTGCATAACGTTAATGACGCCGCGCTATTCAGTCGACTGTTTCTCGTCGTTATTTGTTGGCGCATCCGCGTCAACACCTGTAATACGCCTGTGTTGACCGATTAAGTGAATAATCTGTGTGAACCCTGTGGCATGACTACATTTGCACGTACCCTTTTTGGGAACACTCAGTACACTTTGTGATATGTAAAGTGCGTTGCGAGGGGTGGTCCACTGTGTGGCACCATGGGCACTAACCTGTTTAGAAATACGAAGTCCGAATTTCGGCCCCCAACCTTCGGCTTTATGCGATGTCCGCCACGCGACTAAAGATTTTGATGCTGAAGTGCGAGCTAGTGCAAGCTAGCACAAGACCCTCAATGATCAGGTTCGCATTCAGAATGCTTTGCGCCGTTTGCTCATCTGGATCCACGAGTAGTGAAGCTACCCTTCGACGGAACACAGATTTATCAAATGTGCGTTGCATAAGTACACGTCTGTGGCTATTTCACAAGCAACTCCAAGTTCGCAAATTTTTCCAACTCATTTCTGACGCTTTTGCGAATCGCGGCGTGGCTCATTTGGGTAGGACAGTTTCCACCGGGCTAAGCAGGTTAACGCACCGAATAGGCGTTGGTTGTTTTCACGTGATGTCAATCGGCCATTTCGTTGTTCAATGGTAACACAATGGCAGGTATAAGTTTCTGTGCTTTACGGATTTGATAGTCTTAGGCATCATCGAAATGCTTCTATTTGGCACGCGCCAGACAGCTAATAACAATAAAATGGTGCACTAAATTATGCCAATGAAAACACCCAATACCAGCTGCACTAGCACCTCACTAGGGCGCCTTTATGTGCACTTTGCTTAGGGTTTTGACATCTAGCCATTATGGTCTTCTCTTTTTATTGTTTGCTTGGGGCTTGAGCTCATAGCTTTGTCTGTGCTACGGCGCTGTTTTGTTTCAAGCTACTTCTTTGTATTTTCGTCATGAGCGTGTACTGTCGATGATAGGCATGACCTGCTTTCCATTTAACGCATCTCGCGTGCATGGACGATTGTGTTCCGCTGCGTTCCCTGGAAAACGGAGGTAGCCGGGCGGTGCACGAGACTCATATGCACATGTGTGCTCACCACACACACTTTACTGATGCAGTGTGCCATGGAGCCAGTAGTGCAGGGGCAAAGCGCTTGCCTCACACGCAGCAGACCCAGGGTCGATTCCTGACAGCGGCGAAATTTAACAAAATGTTTTGGAGCAATCCTCAATATCGACGACGGATACCGAATGCCCTACGCCCTACACCCTACGCCATCATTCCAAAGGGGGGGGGGAAGAGCCCATAACAGCTATCGCTGTAAAACAACCGAATCGCTCGTTCTTCTGCATGCGCAATGGCAATGTTGCCAGCATTTGGTGGGCTGCGTTTTTCGCGAAAAGTAAACAAACATGGATGTTGTCGAAGTCGTGTGATGCGAGTGAGGAAAACAGGAACGGCGCTGTTCGGTTTTACTGGCGGCAGCCGCATGCTACGATAGTTCAAGAGAACCAGTAAAACTAGTGGAGACCGTGAAAAAAAAAATAAAAGCGGCGAATTCAAGGACTAGCAGCCAGGTACAAAAATTAGCGATTCTTGGTACGAACTTCGATTGCAACAATACTTAAAAAACAAAGTAGCTGGAAACTTCGATTACTAGTCTTATTCCTGTACGAGTGAAAAATGCCTTTTAGTGCGCGGGATGCTTTTTGCTTGATAGCGATATAGTAACCGTCTGAAACCTCATCTTTTAGCTATGCTAAACATTCTTCTGCTCTTATGCCTGCCTGCATACGTGCTCAATCATAAACTTGAGTTGTTAGTCACCTGACATCCAGCTAAAAATCTCCAGGCACATTTATTATAAGCTCAGGCATATGTTGGAATGAGTGTGGTGGGATGTCCTCTCAAGGGAGAACATTAACGAAAGTACACAATGTTCAACTTGAGAAAGTGTAGCACCACGAAAGTATGAAGCTGCTATTGCATTCACACCCTTTTATTGCCACAGACATTTCGAGCGGAGCATCGTAACTGCCACAAAGAATCACCCATGGGGACACTGCCTAAAGGAATACATAAGCAAAGTGCACAGACGAATGTCCACTACTGTCATCGCGTCGCTGCTTCGTAGCCGAGAAGTTTATGCAGGGGCAAACGGGACGGATGACCACAGTCATTGTTACCAGACAAGTCAAAATGGCGAAATTAGGTTATTTTTGCAGTAAAAGAATACTTCACATATCAAAACAAAAATGATGGGCCATGAGAGATGCTATTTCATTAATTCTGTAAAACACTCAGGCACCTTCAAGTTTTTTTGTTTTTTTTTAACTCTAATTATGTCCAAAAAAGTGTGTGGGCCCATAGACGCCCAGCAAAAATCCGTCACGACGTTGAGGCCTTAAACCATCTGTCCTCGGGACGGCGCAATTTAGCAGTTCTGTCGACTCTTAGTACAGTGGCTCCAAGTGTACTAGAAGTTGCTACAGTGCCACGATCCATTTCTAGTGTCACATGGCTGGCCACCGCATTTTACCGCGTTGCCTCATGAAATAGAGGGGCTGTTCCTGTGCAGTCTTTAGCAGTTTCTACTAGGAATGTGTCATTATAGAGGACCCCAGCTAAGATTTCCATTTTAGATTTATGCACATCACACCCCTTGCGGGAAGCCGCCACCTTTTTTTCTAGCTTGCAAATAGCTATAGTACAGTCGTAACGGACAAATTATTGGCGAATTCTAATGTTACAGTTGCTTGAAAAAAGTGATTAGATCGAGCCTCGCCTCATTTTACACAATGATTTTCAGGGACCGGCATCACGGTGAGCTGCTGGGAAACCGGCTCGGCAGTTGTGGTGGTGACCCCTATCATGTGGCAGGCCCTGGACATCCTCTTGCGACAGAACTGAGCGCACCGCCACAGTAGCAATGATGGCTGGCGCTGTCCTCATGGACAGTGAACAGAGCGTCGAGGGGTACTCGGTAGCTTTCAAACTTCTCAGCGAAACCCATCTGCTCTTGTTTGGGGAGTCAATTCGTAAGTGGCACAGAATGCGAGAGCCATACCCACTTGTCCCCTTCTCTCTACTTGCCAGACACTACACTCTAACCTCAACGACAGTAGTAAAATATTTGGCCCCCGCAGAGCGCAACTAATTTCTCGATTCATGTGATAGATGACTATACCTGTGCGCAATGCCGTTCCATCTTTGACAACCAAGTCTTGTTCTAACTAGTAGTTTGTGCTATCCTGATACATTGAAATACGAACAACGGAGCGCGTGGCTTTCAGTACATGCTGTGTCACTAGGCGTTTGCCGGCGAAATCACAAAAATGCGCAGTGGATGCGAGGCTTCATGCACTAATGTGCTCAACTCTCGCTTGCACATCCAAAGGTTCGGCGCTGCGCCAGCATTGCACTTGAAGCGGAGGCCCTGTTGACATTATTGTCGGTCCTTGGCTAGTGCGGCGTGAGCAAGCTAGCCGGTAGCCACAGCAGCAGCACGCTGCTTGGGCGCGGGGCGTTGAAGCACTCCCGCAGTGTTTATTTCTCTTGGCTTGTTTACTGCAGATAAATGACGGCCACTTTAGCTATATTTCATAGCAATATGCCCTATTCGGTCATGGTGAAGGTGTTAGTTTGCCTCAGAAATGATACACTCAGCATCATTAGCCAAGAAACGGCGAGTTAGTCAAAACCATTCTTCGCTTCTGTACGAATAAAGCTAGCGTGCCACTTCTTACAAGGTTGAAGCAACTGAGTTGGGTCAACTACATTATTTGAAATTTATTTTGCATGGAGGCTTTGGATGCAGAAATAAACTAATGTTTCTCGTTTACGCTTCCAGCTACTTAGGGTGACCGCCCGTCCCGCATTAGAAGTCGTTGTCCCGCGTCCTGCAAGAGATTGAGAAAAGCGTCAAATGTCCTGATTTCGTAGGTTGGTAAAATTCACTGTTTTCTAAGCGGCGCCTCCACAACCCCCAACCCCGAAAAGTTGCGAAAGTGGGTGCCAAACACTTTGTAAAAAGAAGCCACCGAGACAGGTGGAGAGACAACAACGCATGTGGCCTGAACCAAATTGTTCTGAAGATAGGCTTGCCAGGGTGCCCTTTCTGCCTGCATTCTGTACAAAACGCAGGCAGCTTCGCCTTCCTCGATGCATGTCCTCTTTTAGTGTTTTCTCTTTTTCTATTCTTTTCGTCGTCTTCCTCCTGTGCATCGCTCTTCTTCCCCGTCGGGACTCACGGTATGCAAGAAATAGGCTTTCAAGGCGTGGCTGGGACGACTGTGGAGGCCCTTGACAGTCGTCTCAGATACCCTCGGGCGGGCGGCGTCATCTAACAAACAGTTCCTCACGTTCTCTCCCATTTCCTTTTCGCACCTCTGTCCCAGCGCCCTCATTCCTATGCTCTCTTCTGCTTGTTTTGAATCGACTTGAAAGTGGAAAGCTCGCCGCTCATTCTCCAGAACCAAGCCGAGGCACGACTGCCCTGTGTCGCTTTGGTCCTTAATCTTAATTGGTACGAGCTAAGCGAGGGCTTCCAGCTGCGCAATGCCGGCTTAGCACCGAAACTTCAGCATGTGCCGAGCGAGGGTCGAACATATTGGAGCAGGACACGCGCCCTCACTGCATCTGAGCATTTGTGTGAGTTCCTAGGCGACCTCCAGTTGGCGCAGCATGTGCCGAAAGCTACGCGCTCCATTGTTTTGTTGTTTTGTATTTCAATGTCTCATGATCTCATCATCAACTTACAGTACTAGGACTTTTTTTTTTTTCTTGCGGCAAAAAGGAACGAGCTTAAAGCTTGTTCGGAAAAGTGGAAAGTGCAAGCTGTACGTCAGCAGGCCGACGTACAGCTTGCACTTTTTCGGACCCCCTCCTTTCCTATATCCTCTCCACCTTCGACCTTCACACAATGCAGCTTCCCCTCGCAGTTTAAGAGAGGAGGACTCTAAGAGGATTATAGCCCCTGCAGAACGTCAAGGTTGAGCATCGGCCTTTAAAGGACAAATTTTGCAGCTTTCTGTTTGTGTAGAGGGGCATCCATTGACATGGACGCCCCTCTACGCTACAAACTTGCAAACCTTGGAGGCCATTGTCCAAGACGCACTGCTGATAAAGTTGTCATGTGAGAAGCATATAAGAGTTATCTCGGATCTTGTACATACTCATCACATAATCATTTTCATTAGACGCGGCACCGCGGGCCTTCATGGTACGGGCTGTTGCCTTTCCATGGTGCCACGGCTTTCCTAAGCCAATGAAGACTATGACTATAATTTCAATGCTGCTTCAAAAAAAAAAAAAAACACATGGCTTTGTTGTATGCACTCAGTGAAGGCGCACTTGCCAGCAGTGTGAGCAGCCGAGATAATAAAAGTGAAATGTTCCAGGCAGAAACATGTTTGTGGTACAAAAATGCAAGATATCAATTCCTGTAGGTTGGTATCTTGTACATAAATGGATGTCGGCAGCCTGTTGTCTCGAGCAAATGTAAGGATAATATCTCTGTGTATAGAGAAGGAATATGCAGCAAGTCAGTCAGCTCTTCACGCACCTCAGGCTTTTGTTTACCACCGAGACACGATGACATGCCTTTATTCACTGTTTCGACCAATGACGGCGCACACTTTTCTGCCTCGTCTTTGTGCCTCCTGATAACATTTCTATGTGTGGAAGACATGTTTCGGTACACTCGGTATGGTAGTTCAATTCTTCGTTGCTCCAATGGTGGGCAGCATATTATTTTTTGCCAGGCACTACAGGTCTTCACGATCAACAACCCTATTGTGGAGAGGGCAGTGCTGCAGGAGTCATGGCCCGCAACAAGGTGCCTCCCAGGCCACTATCACGGGCAGAGTGGAGCTGGCTGACAGCTGCCCACAACCATATCGAGAAGGGCCAGAGGGTCACTTGATGTTGGCATCTAAGGAAGCCAAGTTTCTCAAAATGCAGTTGCCACCTGTGACAGAGGCACTAATGCAATGTTCTGGGCTGCAAAGCGTGCACTTTTATTTGGCAAAAGTGCAGCCAAGCCATTTAAAGCCGTGCATATTTCTATCTGATGCGAATTGCACATTAATTTTTTTAGTTCGCTGTTTACCTGAAAGGTAAACAGCGAACTGTTTACCCGAAGCAGAAATGGACGACTGCAGGACCGTTTGTTCCTACAAAGTTTGCGCAGTGTTAACTGGGATAATAACCGAGGTCCTTTGAATTTAACTTAGCATAGTAGAGAAATAAAACTGTTTATTCAATGACTTGGCACACATGTGACGCTCAGGGCTACGGCATGACAGTTTCAACATGACCAAATGTGCCGAGACAAGCCCAATTTTAATGTGAAGCATATGGGTATTGCTCACCTCACCTGTTGCTCACAGTCTACGATTGGCAGGACTAATTTTGCCTGTGGCCTTAGCAGAATAACAGCTCTAAGTGGCTGGAATCAGTCGTGCTACTTAACAGTAATCTTGAGAAGCCATGCATGAATACTGCGAAGTGCAACCATGAAGAAAACAAATGTAGAGGAGAGTCCTCAGTGGCTGCTGCATGGCCTTACAGCCGTGGACTTCTCGTAGGTCCAAATCAGACTAGACGTAACTTGGTGGTTTCAATGTCTTTTATGCAGGCACAAGAGCCCCACTTGCGGTGGCTGGACGTCATGAAGGAACACAATCCGACATACCTAGAGATTAATCAATGCCGTGGGGATGAGATGGACCGTGTAACGAACAAGACCGACGTGACTGGGCTATGCTCACATTTGAAGCAGTGCAGTTTCCACTTGATTATTTCCATAATCATTGAAAACCCGTAGATGTCTGAGGACATACTCTTACCCCATAATGGGCCAGTTGAGGAGGTTACCCTTCGACGCACTTAGTAAGGCGCAGAATATTATGCTGCTGCGCTACAGGGTCCGATCGAGAAAAGTAAACCCTCCTTTTCGGCCCGCATAAAAAGACTATGCATAGCAGAACGCTCAAACTCCGCCAGAATGTAACCCTAGCAGTCTGAGCAAGATGCCAAAGTTTCAGAATGTGACGTCATTGAATTTGAAAGTTACTAAGAATTTTCTGAAAATCTCAATAGGAAAATGGGGTCGCGTCCCAGTAGCGTCTCCCATTCATCTCCATGTAATCGCGAGCTCTGCGAGCCTCCATTCTCACATTGAAAATTTCCGTTAATCATGCATAAATATTCAATTCGATGACGCTACTTTCTGAAACTTTGGCATCTTGCTGAGATCGCCAAGGTTACATTCGCGTGGAGTTTCGGCATTCGGCGATACATAGTTTGTCTATGCAGGCCAAAAGTAAGGGTTTACTTTTCTCGATTGCACCCTGTAGTTTGAAAAGTGTTTGATATGTGAAAACGTGCCTGGAGCATGGGGACCTTCAAACCACTACTATATACTGTACTGTTCTACATTTAATCTTGAAAGCGTTTCCTGTTTTGAAATAAAAGCTTCACTTGTGTGTGAGGTATGTGCTCTTATTCCCTCTTCATGGCTTGTTTCCCCTCGCCGTAGAAGTCTTCGTGGTGCTGGACAACTGACATTTTCCTCCACAGTAACTTCAACCTCACGGGTAGGAAGAGTGATCAGAGCAATGTTATGTGTGCCTACTCTCATGAGGAACATGGAAAGCAGTAAAGTGAGATGCGCAACTACAACCTACTGTGGTACATTTACTGAAGGTGTCAGTCATTCCGAGGGGCCCGAGTACTTTGATGGTGATAGAACGACACCTCCATCGCTTTCCGAATTCGCACTGGAACGCGCGTAGACATCAGGCGCACAGCGCGCCCGTGTCACGATTAGGCACGTTTGCGGAACGAGAACATGTCCACGTACAAGAAGCACTGCGTCCGCGAGCCGTCCTCCGCAAGAGTTGCTAGCATTTGGTGCTACGGTGCAGCGGCGAACTCCAAGGATCGTTATGGGTCGTACTCGTAGGGGCGATTTCGACAGCGGCGCGTATGCTGTAGCATTATGTCGGCATGCAGTCCTGGGCGTTCATCTTACCAAAAAACGAGTTCACATCGCCGAGGTGAAAGCATTAGTTGCTAGCGTTTGGTGCTACGGTGCAGCGGCGAACTTCGACGATCGTAGTGGTCGTACTCGTAGGGGGCGACTTCGGCAGCGGCGCGTATGCGGTGGCATTATCTCGGCGTGCAGTCCTGGGCGTTCATCTTACCGAAAAATGAGTTCACATCGCTCAGTTGAAAGCATTCGAGTCATCGGTGCAGCGGCGAACTTCGACGATCGTAGTGGTCGTACTCGTAGGGGCGACTTCGGCAGCGGCGCGTATGCGGTGGCATTATCTCGGCGTGCAGTCCTGGGCGTTCATCTTACCGAAAAACGAGTTCACATCGCTCAGTTGAAAGCATTCGAGTCATCGGTGCAGCGGCGAACTTCGACGATCGTTATGGGTCGTACTCGTAGGGGCGACTTCGGCAGCGGCGCGTATGCGGTGGCATTGTCTCGGCGTGCAGTCCTGGGCGTTCATCCTACCGAAAAACGAGTTCACATCGCTAAGTTGAAAGCATTCGAGTCATCTAGGCACGCGCGTGAAACGAAGTGTTTACAGCGGCGCAGCGTAACGCGCGTCTCACCCACCAGCGCAGCGGCGGACGCCATCTTGACAAGACGAAAACGCGCTCAAATGCGTTCAAACGGCGCGGAAGTGACGTCATGTCACGTGACATTTTCAAAACCAATGAAATGGCCGCTTTCGCGTCGCGCCGAAGGGGGCGTGGCCAGGCACTGTACGGGATATGGTTTGCTTATACGCCTCCGGGCAAGGTTTAGTTCACGCATTTCCAAGGTCAAAGCCATGCGCGTCTTGACAGGGCTTACATTTCGCTCGACTTAGCGCCTTCATGTGACAATTATGTTGTCCAGCCTGTATCGTTCAGTGATCATACTCTGGTTACATTCAGCATAGGAAACCGGCTGAAAACTCCGCGGTGGGATTGGGCGCTTTGGAAACTTAATATTACTCTTCTTAAAGATGAGGTGTTTACCAAGAAAGTTCGTGAATTGTTTAGAAAATTGTTTCAAAATGAAGGGATGGTACGGTGCGCAAAGTGGGAGCTTCTTATAGAAGGGGTTAAACTTGATGCCATCGAAAGAAGTAGCAGTCTTAGTTACCAAAAGAGAATAAAAGAGAAAGAACTGCGTCGAAACTTGCACATGCTTCTAATCGAAAAGAGCGCGAAGCCGGGTGAGTTAGCGCAGGAGATAAGAAATGTTAAGAACCAAATAGAAGCGATCGAGGCAGAGAGATATAGGAGGGCTGTCGTTCGTGCGCGAGCAGAAAAGCTTTGGCTAGGCGAAACGCCGACGAAACAAGCTCTGGGTGATGAAAAAAGGTACGCGCGTCGAAATGAAATAAAAGAAATCCTATACAAAAGCACCGTCACTCGTGATAAGAAAATCATTGAGCAGGCGTTTGTCGAAGGCTATCGCGATCTTTTAGGGCGGAGTGCTCCAACGGAGGATGGTTTTTATAATTTAGTAGGGTACGTTGTTGGGCTAGTTGGTTCATCTTAGTAAATCATATAAAATAGCGCAACATATAAAATAGCGCCTGTCCTGTATACTTCTTGCCCTTGTCTTTCTGTTGCGCTATTTTATATGGTTTTTATAATGCATTTTTGTCTCTGGGATGCCTAAGCGTGAGGATGACACGCGTGAAAGTTTAGAAGCGCCGATATGCGTTGGCGAACTCGAAAAGGCTATCGATGAGTTAAGCCCGGGAAAAACACCGGGGCCTGACGGTCTAGGTGCTGACTTTTATAAAATGTTCAAAACGGAGACAGCTACCGCTCTGTAGGAAGTGCTGGTTGAAGCGTACGAAACAAATAGGCTGCCGCCGTCGTTTGTGAAGAGCCATATTGTCCTTATACCCAAGTATGATAATCCAGTCAAATGTTTATCAGTCTCTTCTTACAGGCCAATAAGCTTAACAAACGTGGGCTACAAAATTTATATGAAGGTAATGGCCCGACGACTTAAAAGTGTTATTAAGTGTACGGTTGGGCCGCATCAGACCTGTGGCATTAAAGGTCGCACCATTTGTTCTAATATTCATGTCGCCAGAAGCATTCTCGAATATTGTGACACCTTTGATGGGCGAGTCGCCATTTGGCAGCTGGACCTTGAAATGGCATTTGATCGTGTATCACATCAGGTTCTTTTCAGCAACTTGGAATATGTAAATGTTTTCTCAGTCATTCTGAACGGTCTAAAAATGGGTTATGACGACTGTACGACACGCATTATTGTGAATAAGCGCGTTAGCAAGATTGCCAGAGTTCGAACTTCTGTAAGGCAAGGCTGTCCATTGTCACCTTTGCTTTTCGCCATCGACTTAGAACCCTTCTGTTTAAAATTAATTCAAAATGAAAATTTCCGCGGTTTCAAGCTTCAATCTTGTGAGGTTAAGGTTCTTGCGTATGCGGATGATGTGGCCGTTTTTTTTATGGGGACCAGGAGAGCGTGCGTGAGGTAGTAAATGATGCTTCATCTTTTAGCAAGAAATCGCGTAGTGTGAACTGGGGAAAATGCGCAGGTTTTTGGCATGGTAGCTGGGCTACCACGCCTGACGTTTCTTATGAACGTTCAATGGACAGCGCTGCCCGCGAAGTATCTCGGTGTACCGCTTCAGCACTACCGGGATACAACGCAGTATTGGAGTGAAGAAACGGAAAAATCTAGCTCGAAGGCAGAAGGGTGGAAAGGCCGTGGTTTGTCCATGTTTGTGCGGGCCACTGTTTGTAATCTTTTTTTGATAGCAAACGTTTGGTACGTTCTTCAGGCATTGTCCATGTCGCGCATAAATGTTCAGAAGATGCACCGCGTGTTCGCGGTTTTATTTGGGCTCAAGCTGGGAGTGTTCTAGCCGTACCAATTTGTTCCGACCAGCTCAGAGTGGGGGACTCGGCTTGTATCCCTTGTTTATCCGACAAATTGTTTCTCGTTTCATTTTCCTTGGTAATCAAAGTGAAGCATTTTTACGTACAGTGCTGCAGGTGCGATTGAAAAATGTTCTGCCTGAGTTTATCGTGTCTTCAAGTGACAAAATATGTCGGACTGTTCAAGGTTACACGCGGGAAGTAGTACTTTCTTTTCAGTTGCTGAAGATGCGTTTCTCTTTGGGATATCTCAGTGTTGTTTCACGCAAAAGGCTGTATAAAGATTTAGTTGATGTGTTATTACTCATCCCTATGTACAGGTCTGCATACGCTGATAGCCCAGGACTGGACGTTCTTAAACGGGCTAAAAGAATGCCAATAAAGCCTGCAGTAAAATCATTTTTTTACATTGCATTGTGGCATTCTGCCTGTTAAAGCGTGGCTTGAGGAGAAAGGTATATAAGTGCCATGGACAGTCAACTGTCTCCTCTGTAAGAAACCTGAAACAGTTGAACATGTTTTTATCGAGTGTTGGGATGCCGTTTTTTACTGGGACATCCTTCAACGGACCCTAAAGAAAGATCTCCCCATTACTGCACAACGCATTCGCTTTTTGTCGGTCGAAAATGATGACGGTATCCCGTATGACATGTTCGTGGTCCTGGGCCTACACAGCATACGGACGACAAGAATGGCCGCCCGCCATGCGGATGCGAACGTGCGCTCAGTCAGAGAGAATTTTATTGAAAGTGTAGCCTACATGCGAGAGGTATACCGGACACTGCCTGTGCCTCC